ATATTAATTCCTGTGTTTGTAATTCTATCTATAAAATTTAACCATCTTTTTTTACTACTTCTTTTTTAATCTATTTTCATTTTATTAACAAAAGAAACTATAGCTACACAATCTGTTCTTATAGTTATTTCTTTCTTAGATATAATAAATAGTTCAAAACTATCTAATGCGTAGTTTATAGCTAATAATTCTGCATCTATGCTACTTAAATTTTCTTTCTCTTTATAATTTTCACTATTGTATCTACAAATTATTTCTGTACTTTTATTAGTATATTTATTGGGTTTGCATATTAATATAGCTCCCCATCCTGTCATACTTCCATTTGTTTCTACAATTAAATATTATGAATCTAATGGCATAGCCAATTCTGGTAAAATTTTTATTTTTTCTTTTATTTGTTGAACTAATTTTATATCTCCTTAATTAAAAAATCTTTATCCTGTAGGAGATGTTTTTGCATATAAGGGTCCTGTTATTTTTCCCAAATCTTTTATAAATGGTCTAGTATAATTTACGAATCCTAAAAATTTTTGGATTTGTTTTAAATCTTTTAGTTTGTCTAGAAATTCTAAAGCTTTCTTAACAATATGGGGTTGTAACTTAATTTTACCTTCTCCTATGTTAACTCCTAAGAAATCTATAAATTCTTTAAATAAAGTCATTTTCTTTTTACTAATTATTAAACCATGTTTAATAAATTCTGAAATACTATTTGTAAATGTCCTCTATATTCTTATTTATTTTTACTAAATACTAAAATGTCATCTATGTATACTATTAAAAACTTACTATGTTTATTAAAAATACTTTTCATTTTTCTTTGAAATATATTAGGTGCATTCTTAAATCCAAATGGCATTACAAGCCATTCAAAATGTCCTTCTGGACAAGTAAAAGCTGTCTATTTAATATTTTCTGGATTCATTTTTACTTGCCAAAATCTAGATACTGTTTCTTTAGAAAAGATTTTTGAAAAAATTGAAGAATTTCAGAAGCAATCCAAAAAAGATGGAGGAACTTCTTCCAGAAAAAAAAAGATTAAGAAGAAGAAAAATGATGAAAAATTAAAAGAACAAATTAGAGAAGCAGTCAATCAAGCATTTGAGACAATTCTAAAAAAGAATCATGGAGAAGAGAAAAAAATTGTAGAATGTCGAGATCAAAAAGAAAAAGATGAAGCCAATAATTTCAGACTTTCAGATGAAGATGAAGATCCACAGAACGAAGGATACAATAATTCAGACAGTGGAATGTCATTTTCATCAGTGGCACGCCATAATTTTGATACATGATAAAGATTTTCAATAATGCAGAACAAGATAAATGTGCCAGCAGAAAAGAAGAAAAGATGAAAGATTCTCTCAAAGTGGCGATAAAAGTTTACTATTTAACTTTAGATTTTTTCTCTTTTATTGATAGAATTCTTAGACTTTTTTATAAAATTGGTGGAAATCTTGTAGAAGAAAGATTCCCAACTGTAGACCTTTTGAATTTTTAGCAAAAGACGTAGGAACTTTTAAAATTTTCCTTGCCATTTGTTATACTTTAGAATGGCCAGAAGTTTCTCGGTGAAACGTGTGCCTTTCTTAAGGATAATGTAGACTTTTTGCTCCCAAAAATTTTTCTATTTAAGGAATGAATTTCATTCGGTTTAGGTAGAAGTTTACAATCTGTGTACTCTCTACTATCCAAAAAACCTTTTGAAATCTCTCCTCCAGAAAAATTCTCAATCCAAAAAATATTGTATAGCTGAAACACTCTTGTGAATATTTAAGTTATTTTTTTACTTTCTTAAGTTAATTTTAGAACTTTAGGGATTTCCCGAAAGGGAAATCCTTAGTTGTAAATCTTTTCAAAGATGAAATTATAAATCCCTAATTTATGTTTTATTCTTTTATGCTTATGTTTTTGTTAAGTAAATATTTGTTATGTTTATCATTTCATCCTATGCATATAATAAAAGTATAACTTGATTTCTAGAAGCCATACTGCTTTTAGGTTAATCCTGAGTGACCCAGATAGGTGAAAACTTTTGGCCGGAGTGATCCTTTTGATATTTTCCAAAGATGCTGGGGAAAAGGAAAAAATTAGTCTAAGAATTTTATAAGGGAGTGTCACGGGTAACCTTATAAAAAGAAATCAGGTTCAAGTTTATGTCATAGGTGGTGAAAATTTAAATGAAAAAAAAAAGAGTGATCTATATATGATTCTGAATAAAGATTTATAGAAAACTAAGGAGAGTACTGAGTTTTCTTTTATTGGATTTTCTAAGAAAATATCTTTTCTTAAAAGGTCTTTTATTCTTTCTTTCTTTATTACAATATTTATTTTTTCTTGAACTAGAGGCTCCATAGGTTTGTGGGGTAAAAATATCTTTACAAAAAGATAGAAATAATAGGAGAAAATGTTTTAAAATACTGGAAGAAAGATAAAATCTTATGTGAATTAAAAATTAAAAATCCAGAATACATAATTAAAACTAAGAATATAGAAGCTACAAATTTAGATTTAGAAGATTTTAAGATACATATAAAAGAACTCTTGGAATTAGGAGTAATTAGAAAATCAGAAAGTCCTCATAGATTAGCAGTCTTTATAGTTTTGTTATACAGATGACAAGACCAAGGCCTTTAAGACCAGGAATTTCACCTGGGAATTCATTTGCATCATGTTCTTTATCACAGACTCCATTTAATCAGAACATACCAATGTTACAAGACATTATAACGTTTGGAAACCAAGAACTTATAGTTTTTCCAAATAGTAATATTTCTTTTAAAATTTTACCGCATATTTCTTTATCTAGAGAAGAAAAATGTATTTTAGATAATTTATGAATTTCATATAATAAGAATCCAAAAGATCAAAAATATTTTCTTGCATGCATGAATGCATTGTCAGAACATTTTAGTCAGAATTAAGGATTTCCCTTTCGGGAGTCCCTAAAGTTCTAAAATAAACTTAAGAAAGTAAAAGAATACCTTAAATATTCACAAGAGTGTTTCAGCTATACAATATTTTTTGAATTGAGAATTTTTCTGGAGGAGAGGTTTCAAAATGTTTTTTGGATAGCAGAGAGTACACAGGTTGTAAACTTCTACCTAAACCGAATGAAACTCATTCCTTAAATAGAAAAATTCTTGGGAGTAAAAAGTCTAAATTATCCTTGAGAAAGACACACGTTTCACCGAGAAACTTCTGGCCATTCTAAAGTATAACAAGTGGCAAGAAAAATTTCAAAAGTTCCTACGTCTTTTGCTAAAAATTCAAAAGGTCTACAGTTGGGAATTTTTCTTTTATAAGATTTCCACCAACGTTACAAAAAAGTCTAAAAATTCTATCAATAAAAGAGAAAAAGTCTAAAATTAAATAGTAAACTTTTATCGCCACTTTGAGAGAATCTTTCATCTTTTCTTCTTTTCTGCTGGCACATTTGTCTTGTTCTGCATTATTGAAAATCTTTATCATGTATAAAGATTATGGCGTGCCACTGATAAAAATGACATTCTACTATCTGAATTATTGTATCCTTCGTTCTGTGGATCTTCGTCTTCATCTGAATGTCTGGAATTATTGGTTTCATCTTTTTCTTTTTGATCTGGACATTCTGCAATTTCTTTTTCTTCTCCATGATTCTTTTTTAGAATTGTCTCAAATGCTTGATTGATTGCTTCTCTAATTTGTTCTTTTAATCGTTCATCATTTTTCTTCTTCTTAATCTTTTTCTTTTTTCTGGAAGAAGTTCCTTCATCTTTTTTGGATTGCTTCTGAAATTCTTCAATTTTTTCAAAAATCTTTTCTAAAGAAACAGTATCTGGATTGGGGTCTTGTGCTTCTTGAAGAAATAAAAAGTCTTGACTATCTTGGGCTACCATTTTTTCATTTCCTTTATTAGGCTGAATTTCTTGGGCTTGTGAAAGATCTGGATTATTAGAAAAGTGTTCTGGTGAAAAATGTTCTGGTGGACTATATTTAACTAAGTAATCAAATTTTTCGCTGGGCTATCCTAAAAGATCCCAAATCTCTTTACCTTTTTCTGTAGCAGATTTATCAGTCTGCTGAGTCTGATTATCTAATTTAGTAGAGGAATCAACAGTCCCCTGAGTCTGTTGGGCTTTTGGTAAGTCTACAACCTTCAACGGATTTGATAAGTCTTTACCAACTACCGTTTGGGTTGGGCTAGCTATGGACTTCTTGGGCTCCATAGTACCTGTTGGATATTGGACTTTTAAACCCAAAATCTCTTTTTTCAAGTTGAGCCACTTTTAAATAATCTTGTTGGGGATCTATAATTTCTTCTATATTTTGATTATATTGGACTGGTCTATTTAAAATTCTTTCTATTATATTTCTGCTTATACTTGAAGTACTATTTCTAGATGTAGATGCTTCTTCATTTATTGTTCTAGATCTTCCTAAAAAAGGATTGATATTCATTTTATATATATATATAAATTTCTTTTTTTCTTTTTAACATTTTATTCACAACATTATTATAATTTCCATTTAGTGTGTGTGTGTATACACACACACACACACACACACACACATATATAAATTTCTTTTTTTCTTTTTAACATTTTATTCACAACATTATTATAATTTCCATTTAGTGTGTGTATATATATATATTTATTATTTTTTCTTTTTAACATTTTATTCACAACATTATTATAATTTCCATTTAGGATGAGTACTCTTTAAATTCTTATATATGAAAATAAAAAATAATTAAAATTAAAGTTAAACTAAGCAAGACTAGTAAGCCGGTAGATAGAGTGACAGCTAGTAAGTAACCGAGTATAGATTTGTGACTTACAGATCAAGTAAAGCTGTAGTCACCACTCGGTCATTCGTTTAATAATTTATTCCCATTTTAACCTCTACCAATGTATATATAACAGAAACACTTCAAAGGTTTCTTCATCTTTCTTTCAATAGCTCCCGTCTCTGTAATAATACAAGAAAAATAGCTAAAACGACGTCGTAAACTAGCCATGATTATTGCTGCTGAAGCTATTGTTGGTGGATCCATGTGGGCTTCGATGACCAGCTGCTTAACACCAACTGTTCTCTTCTGCATCTTGAACCTCACCATAGTTACCATTTTCATCACTTCATCCCTCGAAAAACCGCACGAACTCGGTGTTGACGAAGACGACTCGCAGCCGAAACTCATCCGAGTCAAGTCAATCAACTTCTCTACGTACAGCTCCGAACAGCCCGACCCGTTTGACTCCGCAGCCAGTGACGCCACCCTCCCACCTCAAGAATCAACCCATCTGCAAAAATCTGAATGTGTGGAAGAGAGTCACGTGAATAGGAGTAGGTCCGACACTAGCGTGAATGTTCCGGAGAGAAGGGTGTTGAAGAAGTCCGCGAGTGAGAAGGTGTTTGCGGCTGAGCGGCAGGAAGAGGAGGATCGACTGCGGCCGGCAACGGTGAGGGAAACTACGTCGTGTAATGGGACGGAGGATGAGGAAGTGGATGCTAAAGCTGATGATTTTATTAACAGGTTTAGGCAACATTTGAAATTACAGAGGATGGAGTCAAATTTGAGGTACCAGGAGATGACGAATCGCCTTCGGAATTGAAGCATATTTTTGTCACTGCTAATCTCAATAGCTATAATTTCCAATTGCTTGATATCAAAATGAATTCATTTTTGTTTAGTAAGTACTTGTTTGTACCCCGTTATTTGTGAGTAATGTATTATAGAATAATGATTGATATTAAATGAGTGGTTAAAAAAAAAAGTTTTTGATTTATGTATAATATTATTTTAATGAAGAATATGTGGTTAAAAATGAATACTGTAAAAAAGATAATGCCGTAGAATGTGGAAGAGAGGAAGACAAACAAGCCTAAATTAAAATTTGGGAAAATTGCAGTTGGGCTCCCTAATATTTTCAAAAAGTTCTAACCTTTCATTTTCTGCAGTACAGTCCTTCATTTGGAAAAATAAGCATTTGAAGGAACTTTTGATGGCTTGCGTCCAAAAATTCTTTAATTCAAATTTGACTGAAATTAGACCATTTTTAAGAAGGGTAAAAATCAAAATTCCACATTTTCATGACAAGAATTAAAACAAATTTAACAAAAAAAAAAATCAAAAAAATGAAATAGAAAAACCAAAATAGGATAAAATCGCCACCACTGTAATGCAATCACAACATCAACTCCGCCACTCTCAGCATAACCAAAACTCCTCCACGGAAGCCTCACCCAAACCGTAACATTACCCTACTATGCCTCCGTAACCACCAAAAACTGCAGTGAAAAATGTTGATAATAAGTTGATGAAGACTAGAAATAAAAAAAATCAACAAGAAAATGATTCGCTAAAAATGGAAGGTTAGAACGCGATTATGAATAGTTGTCAAAATCGTGTTCCTCAAACGATATTTGTCATCATCGAAGTAAGTGCTTGAATGCTTTCAAATTCAAATAGTTTATAGGAGTAATCAAAACATTAATTCAAATTTTGAATCAAGTAAACAAACATGGAAAGAAATTTTTAGAACAAAAATAAATAAATAATAATAATAATGATAACAAACTTGATTTGATCTTTGATTTGGATACAGGTGATGCTAATTTTATGTTTTGAACATTTATTCAACATGAAAATCGCCCAATATATATATATATAGTATATCAACCTCTATACATGAAAGGGGTGCAAAAAAACAAGCCAAAAGGTTGTGAATCTTGCCAAACGTCACCAATATTTAAAAAGTAACAGTAACAAAAAATTGCACTGGGCGATCGCCCAGTACAAAACCAGGTTTACCAAAAATTGTTCTATTTGAAAAGCCAAGGCTGGGCGATCGTCCATGGTTGATCTCTTTCAAATCACTCTCATAATATGAACAATATTCTACCAGAAAACCATCAAGTTTGATTGTATGAAACCTAGGGACTGTAAACTCGATTTCGCAAACAAATCATGATCACTACTGCGGTTTAGGAGATCTCCACCCTAGTTAGAGCGAAAACCAAGTAGGGGAGATCAACTGTGATTTTTGCATAAACCAGCACTTGGTTTGCACAAAAAACAAGGAAATTTATTTTCTTGGGTTTCACAACCAATCTTTCGTCGTAGTTTGTGTAGCGAAGGAAAAGATGTTGTGGCACCGTGCATCTTTGGTGGGGTGGGATTGAGGGATGGGTAGAGTACTGTGATGGGCTAGGGTTTGTATAGATGGAAATTTTCATTTGTAAATAATGGAGGTATCGAATGGTGTCCCCTTTACAATGTATGACGAATACCATGTGAATTTAAAAAGGTCGGCCTATGGTCTTCACTTCTGTTGTGAGTAGTAGGTAAAAGATTCGATAAAAAAACGATATGTATAGCATTCTCCATGAATAGATAGCAAGTTTTAAGTATATGAGTAGAGTCGCTCTACTCTCCCACCATCGAGTTCGACTCGGTCCACTTGGCGAGCCAGCTTTTGCTCATAAATGGAGCAAGTAGAGCAAGAGCTAGGTTGTTTCCAAAATCCGATCAATTCGTCCCACGAACTCGTCCTTTGTTAGTAATGAAGTGGTAAGAATTTATTGTATTTTTACCTCCTTTAGTGTAAAATAAATGGTAGTTTAAAAAATTATATGTTGTCAAAAGAATATATTTAAAAAATTATAAATTATAAAAATCCTCCTCCTTTGTCCAAACTTGGGACCAACTACATATAATACGTAAATGGAATTAAAATTGTTCACGAATTAATATTTTGTGTAGAATTTATTTTACAAAGTAATGAAATAAATACAGCCCTTATTTGATTCTCATTTTTCAAGTCAAACAATCAATTTTTTGATCGTTACTTAATATCGTTAGCCATCATTTTTTACTTCTTCACTCACACGTTAGACCCACTTTTGTTTGTTATATCCACGATTAAGTTGAATAAAAAGAAGAAATATAGGGAAAAAGTTACAATCATGTTTACTTTTATTGAGTTGCTGAAGAATATATATATTCATTAATTCTGCGTGCCTATTCTCTCCTTCATTTTCACTTATTTTGTCTAGGCACATTTATTAGAGTACAAAAGTATTTCTAATTAGAGGGACTTGAAAACAAATGTTTAAAACAATATATTGCAGTTTCGTCTTTTCAATTAATGGGTCCGAAAAGATAGGCTAAACAAATAATCGAAGCAATATTAAAAATATCGCTAGCGATTTATCTATCCTTTTTTACCGTTGGTAAATTTCCCATCCGAAGAACTGTCAAGACGATGTTAAAATACTAAGAGTTTGTTTCTTATTTAGGGTGTGTTTGTGAAAGAATGATTTTTTTAAAAGTGATTTTTTGAGAATGTATAATTAACAAATAGAGAAAAAATTTAAAATGTGTGTGTGTCTATATATATATATATATATATATACACACACACACACACACTAGTCTATTGCCCGTGCAATGCACAGGCAGGATTCTGTTGCACGTTATATTAGCGTTTTTAATGTTAATATCAGTTTACTGTTTAAAGAAAAAGTGAGTTCATTAGTTAAAAATAGAATCATTGGATGTAAGCTATGATATTAATTTTGAAATTGAATGATTTAATATTGTAATATTTCACTGTTTTTGCAATGGAAAGGAGAAAAAGGAAAGTAAGACGCGTACACCAAACTTTAAATTTCAAGAGTAGTAATTTATTACTATTTGGTGGAATCTGAAGTCTTGTACATAGACAAAGATATAGACAGATCATGTTACTTTTTTCAGAAATACAAAATAGAACATTGATTACTGTCCACTGTCACAAAAGTATCATAGATGTGATTCATTCATGTTTTTCTTTTGAGGTGATCCCAATGGTTCAGTTATTGGTTTTGGAGATTGTGTGAGTCCCTTTTTTGGGTTTTGACTCTGCTTCAATAGGCACATTTGATGGTTGGAAGAGAGACCTTTATGCATGCAGTGGATTGATTTCTTCAGTAGCGGTGGAAATGTCATCGGGTCGTCTGGACACCTTGTTCTTGCCTTTTACGTCTTTGTTGTTGGAAATTTTTTCTATTTCAATTTGCTTGTTTGCATCTTCTGTAACAATTGAGGAATCAACTGGATTTGCCGTGGAGGAGTTGAACACGAATATTATTTCAAAACGGTACTCAGGTGGGTCGTGGCGCTTTCTGTTGCCTTGAGGTAAAAGAGTAGCTCTGTATCACTTTCCAATTTGACAACGTCATTGAGTTTTTTAATACCTTCCTGTGGTTGAGGAAATATATTTCAATAGAGTGGCATGTTTGTTGTTAAGAAAGAAAGCATTTTCGAAGGGTGTTGAACATGATGTTTTACCTTCTGAAGATGGTTCATTAAGTCATTGGCGCTACTTTCCAGTAACACTTCTACTGCATCTCCTATGATGATTGCATCTAACGAACTAGATTTGTCTTCAAGTTGTATAAAAGCATTTACCCTAAAGAATGCGTTTTTTTTTTTTTTTTTAGTCATGTATTATGTACCTTGTTCCTGAAATAATAATTAGTAAATTTTTGAACTTATATTTAATAGAAGAAATCACCTTGGAATAACTTTTGAGTGTTCGTACTTGCAGAATCAACATTTATGAATTTCTCTAAAGTTCGCGTTGGAAGTTTTCTTGCAGTTGTTACAAGACATATAATTTGTTTTCATTAGGAATACAACGAGACATATAATTTTCAAAAGTATAAATATAATATTCTTCTGGAATATTGACATTATTTATTCATTCTACCTTTCGAGTTAAATAATAAAATTTATGCCCTACATGAGTAATAATGAAATATTTTTCTTGAATATTTATATAACATATGTTACGTTTTTTCGAGAACATTAACATTATATTTATTTAAAATAAATATAATTTAAATTATGTTTTTTCAGGAACATTGAGTCAATATACTTTTAGAATATTAAACTTGTAATATCACGCTCTTTATAAGCAAGTAATATTCTTTTAAAATATCAATAATATTGTGCTACTTTAGGAGTAACAACAAACTATTTATAATAGATAGATATAAAATTAATATTCTTCTGAAATATTAATTATAATGTTCTGCTATTTTTATAATAACAACATGATAAATTCTTAATTTGAAGTTCATAGAAGAATATCTAAAAATATTTAATTATCATTTAGACATGATATGAATTTATCTAGAAAAATTAATTACCCAACATGCATTAGAAAAAAGAATATCTATATATAGAAGTTAACAAAATTGGCTAAATCTTTTACCAACATACAAAAGATACTAAACATACATGTGAATTTCACATATATAGAAATTAAAAATAGAACTAATATGTGACAGATTCAAAAGACATAATTAATACTAAATAATATGTGAAAAATGATCGTGTATGAATAAAAATAACGTGAATTAATATGTGTTTAGATTACACATACAAACGTGATTTAGAATTAATATTCCCATGAAAAGTAGAGAAGAAGAAGCAATCTCATTATGATGCAATATGTATATTGAAATATTTCACATACTACAAAATTAATTTTGGTATACGTGATAAATATTTATGCCTATAAAAATTATTACTTTCACTAAATTCTGAAAAATTAAGCTATCGTAT